ACCTTGAGAAGTTGTTACAAAGATTAAATGAGATGATACTTGTAAAGTGCTTGCTTAGCATAGGTAGCCTATAAAGAGTGCTTATAGTACAGCTATTACTAAAGTATAAGAAAACTAAGTGGAGGAAAATTTCAGTTTAGGACATTGAGCAACTGGTAATTAATTGGTAGAAGTGACGATGGTGATGCTGGTACCCAACGATTATTAGCTCAGTGCTGAGAGTGCGGTCTTGAAAGTCCTCTGGTGCGTGTGGGTATGTGGTTATAGCTCATTCAGCACTGGAAATATCAAGACCAAGGAGCAGAAAACATTTAAAATGGAAGTGTTGGAATCCATTTGTAGCATGCATCAAAAATAAAGATACATTTGAAGTGATATTGGAAATTGCCGGGGGGAAGCATCTTATAGAAGTTATGTTTATGCACATTTTTGGCTTTGGCATAGTGAGCTGTGCTTCTCTGCCAAGATTAAGGAACAGGATTTCTGTCTGTGAAAGAGTGGGAGCTGGGGAGTTGGGTTCTGGTTTTTGTGCCATCACTGGCTTCTCTGTGCGCTTGGGCAGATCACTGCTTTCCCTGAGCAGGATTCTGATTCCTGAAAAAGAGCTAACCGTTAGCCCTCCTGGTGAGGAGTAGAGTAGATGATGTCTTTGAAAGCAGGTGGAGTGTTAAATTACAAAGTAAACGCAAATGTATGTTTCTTCAGTATAGAGAAAACTCTGTTAGCTGAGGAATTCTTGCCATTTTATAGCTAGGATTTTATTCTGTGGGCCTCTGGAGTTCTGTAAGCCCCAGAGAAATGCTTTTTTGAAATACCTAGCCTCACGGGCTCTTACCCCAATATGCAGGTGAAATTCCTTGTTGCTCCAGTTTGACTTCTTTTCCTTTGATCCCAGAGTAAACCTGCTATGATTTCCTTCCAACACCTGATATTAAATCTACTTTCTCTCTTTGTCTTCATTTGCCTCAAATAGTCTACTCTCATCAATAATATTTGGCTTTTGAGATCTTACAGCTTTGGAGTTGCTTTTATATGTTCTTTATTTTCTTCTTTTTCAATCCTGCTTCCTAGACTAGTTTCACGTCAGGTACGACTTAATTGTGCTTTATTTGTGTTGCTTGGTTCTAGAACTTTCTCTCTGCTTCCTCCTGAATCGCTGCTTTCCTTGCCTCCAGATGATCACACTGTCAAAGGGCTTCTTCCTGAAGCTTCACTCAAATAGCTAAATGTACGGGCTCATACGCCTGAGTTTTCTTCAGCAAATCAAATGCAAACTTGCAATTCTTTATGTTTAAGACCCTCTGCCACGTGGCTCCTGCTCTCCCTTCACCTCTGCTATCTATGTTTGTACTACTTCACATTTGTACTTCACTGACCAGTATTCCTGCGAAGGTGGCAGAGTTCCGGGGCCCCATCCCTTTCCCATCACACATCCCGGCCTCTTTCCTTAGCTCTCACATGTCAGTGGCACAGCCTCCGTTACGTAGAGTAATCAGGTTGGCATTTACTCAAACTCCGGCTATGCTGCTCTGCTCTCGGTTGGCTTTTCCTATAGAAGTAATTTACAAATGGTGATTAGGCTGTCTCACAGATAGATACCCACTAAGCTGATAGTGCTATTGCAGGACAGGATCTGTAGGTGAACAACAGAAAAGAAGCATTACTAACACGTTTGAGTAAGGACCTCTTTGATGTCATCATGATAGCCTATCCCTAAAGAAGAGCATGCTTGTTTAGAGAAAGAGAAATGGAAACTTGAGAACTTTCTGAGCGTATTTAGGAACCTTTATGGGTTTGGATATTTATAAAAGTTCTAGTTATATTCCCCAATGTCCAACTTGCCTTTTCTTTGATACTGTTGGGTTGTTAAATTCTTTAAACATATCTACTCTGATTTGCTTTCTAAGGGCACAGCTGAAATGAATACAGAAGAAAACACTGAGGAGAAGAATTTTCATGAGATAGGTGGGCAAGAGCTGAAAAGAGAGGTATAGGGAAGAAGGACCTGTTAAGAAGGACATGTGAGTGAGTGTGTGGTGGTCGTGGAGGTTATTTGGTCTAGTCTCCACATTTTATTTTATTTATTTTTAAAGATTTTATTTATTTGACAGAGCACAAGTGGAGGCAACGGCAAGGGGGGAGAGAGAGATGCAGACTCCCCTTTGAGCAGGGTGCCTAATGTGAGGCTTGATCCCAGGACCCCAGGATAATTCCCAGGACCCCGAGATAATGACCTGAGCTAAAGGCAGATACTTAACCGACTGAACCACTCAGGCGCCCCAGTCTCCACGTTTTAAATGGGAAGAGGCAGCCCCGCTGCTTTGTTGCTTGTAATGATGTATCTTTGTGTAGGCGTCTGCAAAACATACACAGTATATAGCTAAGAGCTCCAGAAAGGGAAATGTTTTAACACTGAATTTTTTCATTCCCCACAGTTCATTAATGCAAAGGAATTGTCCTAGAAGAGAATGTCCCGGGAAAGCTTCTAAACAGCAGGGCCTCCAGAACTTTCCTTACATCTCTAAGATTATGTTCACATTTCAGTAGCATTTTTAGAGGTTCAAACTTTGCTAATCACATATTCTTAATGGAGGTGAGGAGGCCATCCAATGTAATACCACCATCCTTTGAAAGGAGACACCTAAAACGCAGAGGCTAAAGGTAACTTCCCACTAAAGGGAAGACTACCATATTCCCACAAAATTCTACAGAGATTCTTTTTTTTTTTTTTTTAAAGATTTTATTTATTTATTTGACAGACAGAAACCACAAGTAGACAGAGAGGCAGACAGAGAGAGAGAAGAGGAAGCAGGCTTCCCGCCGAGCAGAGAGCCCAATGCGGGGCTCGATCCCAGGACCCTGAGATCATGACCTGAGCTGAAGGCAGAGGCCTTAACCCACTGAGCCACCCAGGCGCCCCTCTACAGAGATTCTAAGGTATTCTAGGTATTTAAAATGCCTAGAATTTTATTTATTTATTTATTTATCAAAGAATTTATTTATTTGACAGAGATCACAAGTATGCAGAGAGGCAGGCAGAGAAAGAGAGTGGAGGAAGCAGGTTTCCCACCGAGTAGAGAGCCCGACGCGAGGCTCGACCCCAGGACCCTGGGATCATTACCCGAGCCCAAGACAAAGGCTTCAAACCACTGAGCCACCCAGGCACCCCTATGCCTAGAATTTTAAATTTTAGTATTTAGATTTAGTATTTAGGTATTTAGATTTTAGATGCCAGGTATTTAAAGTTAAGTTTGAGTAGAAATTTTTAAAGCTAGAAATGGTTCTGAAAAAGAGCAAGGGGACCTGAGAAGGCATTGTTGAGGGTTTGAGAGTGTTTGGGGTTGAAAGCATAAGTGCCTGCTTCTGGATCCCTGAGGTGGCAGGAGGCCAAACTGCCTGAGCAACTTTTAGGTCATTGCCAGTTGGTACTCTGGGTAGAGGACCGCTGACTCTGACCTCCTATTTTCTGAAAGCCAAAGTTTATCTTTTTCTGCTCTCTCTTAGCTTGAAGAAAGGAGTTTGTGCATGGTAGATTATGAGCCAGGCTGTAGAGACAAGTGACTTTTTAAACTGGCATTAATGGGGCTGGCTCTGGCTGAGGGGAAGCATGGAGTCTCAGTGGGCCCAGAACCTGGGTTTGAGCGCTGGCTCAGTTATTTCTCATTGTGTGGTCTTACTCTGCTTCACATTTTTCATCTGTAAAATGCCTGTCTCTCTTGCTTTACCTTGTTCCTTAGGGTGATCATTCAATAAAATGAGATGTGTGAATTCTGATTCTTGGCATTACTGTCTCACATGAGAAACGCTTGCTTGGGGCTTAAAATTTTGCTCCTTATTTGGCATCCATTGTGAGACATATTTGAGAGGCTTCACTAAAGCCCTGAGAGCCATTTAACTAACTCTTTGTTACTTGGGAGCTGATCATTTAATTTGTAGAATTTTAGGACTTCCTATCACCTGCTCTAATACTAAGCATATAGACATGGCTGCCGTTAAGAGAGAGACTGAGGAAAAAAAAAAAAAGAGAGAGAGAGAGACTGAGAATAGCAGAGGCTGAAACAATCTGGAAGTGCATTTCTCTTTCATGTACTAGTCTAGACATAAATGGTCTGGGGCAGTTTTGGGGGTGGGGTGGTACATGGAGTCAAGAACTGAGGCTCCTTGATCTTGTTTTCCCACACGGCTCTCACCTCTTGGCCCAAGGTGGCTGTTCCAGCTCTGGCCAGCAGGAAGGACATGACCACAGCCTTGCAGCCAGAACTATTCAAATGCCCACACTTGGCTACACTATATAGTTGAGCTTAGCATCCATGCATTCATATAAAAATTACATTACTGTGTATGAAGGGAGACCAAATATTGTGGGGTGGGCAGCTAGCATTGTCCGCCACAGCTGCTGGGGGTCACGTGATTCACTTCCCTTTAAGAAGTTTTATGTAAGATGGAAGATGGCAGCTTTCATTCACCCATTCATGTAAACAACTGTGGAATGACCTATGAAGGGGAGAACGAGGAGTTTAAGGCTGTTGCCTTAGAATAGGTTTGGAGAGGATCTGTACTTTTCTTTTATTTAAGATTTGAAGCCATTTATTGTTCATGGAGAACTAGTCCCCTCTCGCTACATTCTACACCCTGCGTTGGGTACTGGGGATGCAGAGATCAGGGTCCCTGTTCTCCAATGGTCCATCCCACAGGGGGAGCCAGTCCTGTCTGACATGGAGCACATGACTGTCTGGTGTGCATTCTGATGGGAGGCAGATTGGGGGCTGTGGGAGCTCCTAGGGAAGACCTGCCCACCCCAAGGAAGGCAGGGCATGTGTGTGTGTGTGCACACACATTTTGGATGCGGGATGCATAAGGCAGAAGGAAGTATAACTGGGGCTCTATCTCTATTACTTTAAACAGAGACGGATCCCTTAGACAGCAAGTGAACTAATATGATGCCATTCCCTAGTGTCATGTCTATGGCTTAACGTTTTTATTTCTGTTTCTCTTTCTAGAAACTCTCAGTGTGTCTGCCTGTACCCTTCTTCACAAGGAACAATGCTGCCCCGATGGGAACTGTCTTTTTACCTGTTGGCTTCACTAGGCTTCCACTTATATTCTTTCTATGAAGTTTACAAAGCTTCCAGAGGTAAGGTCCCAACTTTCCTGACCTTCTATCTAGAAAGCAAGGGGGAAGGAAGTACTCAAGAGGTAGAAGACTCCGGAAGATTGTCCAGTGGGCTTGGGATGACTTGGACCCTACTTTGCTTTCCCCTCTCTGGGATGCTTGGAGTTTATGATCGGAGTCAACACGATTTTCTACCCCAACCCCGGATCTTGAACGGGATCCTGTAAGAGGAGGGAGGGTTTGATTCAATGGCTGCTGAAGGCTGTGGAGGTGACCTGCAGTAACCTCTTCCATCTCCCTTCCATCATCATTGCTCTCAGACATGTGCAGACAGCTCACGGTGTTGGAGGCCCAGACTCCTTTTGTCCTTTTGTTCTGCTGTGTTTAGTGCTTTGTATGCTTGTTGAAGAAGAATCATCATCAAATCCACATCCCAGCACATAGGAAAGGGGATGGGAATCCTCCTGTCCTTTAAGGAGAGCTCAGCATGTTACCCTTATCACTTCTGCTCACCCCCACTTAGCCAGTGCCAGGTCTTATGGACACAGCTGGGAGGCTGGAAAACATCATCTTTAGCTTGGTGGCCATTCAGGCTATGAGGACTGTGGGCTTTTTCATAAGATACAACCAGAGACAGCTTAATAGAGGAAACATCAGAAGCTCTGTGGAAAGAGATGAGTTTGCAGGCAAAGGGACAAAACCTTAGCGTGTTAGGAAGCATAGCATTGTCTGGCAACTACAAACCACTCAGTGGGACCAGGGTGTAGAGTGTGAGGGGACAGCGGTAGAAGTTGAGCTTAGATAAAAAAAAAAAAAAAGGCAGGGAAAGGCTGTGAAAGACATTGCATGTTATTGTGAGGAGTTTGGCAGGAGAGTATGCTGAAAAGTCACTTCAGATGGTAGAAGTGCTTTGGGAAGCACAGTTGAGAGTCCTCTACTCTGAACACCTACCTCCTTATGTCTCACTGGGCCTGATTTGGATATGCATCCCCAGGATGGACTTTTCTCCCAGCTGACAGATGTCCCACTCAAAGCCATGGGCTTGGTTGCAGAGACAGACCAGCTACGGTAGATGAGGACTGATCTTTTGTCCCAGCTGGCCAAGTAGTTGCACTCCCCTGCTGGAGCCTCTGAGCTCCCAGGGCACATGTATGGGAGCTAATCCTACTCTATGTCTGGCACCATATTAGATGCTACATGTACCTTGTCTCATTCATTCTTTAGAACAGCCCTATGAGATGGTCTATTACTTCGAAGATAGGCTTGGCAGCAGAAACACAACCTCCAACATAACTGTTCAAAGGCTGGTATGATGTCCAGACAGCATCAAGGAGCCTGGCTCCTTCTACCATGTCCCTCTGCCTTCTTCATCAAGTGGCTTCACTGAGTGATGTAAGGTCACTGCTTCAGCTCCAGCTGTCATGTTCCCTTTTCTCCCAGAAGGAAATGGAAGGGGAAGGGAGGGGAGGGAAGGGAAGGAGCGGCCTTCTTCTTTCCTGAATATGACTTGAAAGTTGCTTACATCATGTCCATTGACATACCATTTGCTAAAACCCAGTCCTGTAGCCACATCAGCTGTGAGGGGAGCAAATAAATGTAATCTTTGGTTGGAAGTCCAGTTATCCAGCTAAGTTCAAGAGTTCTGTTTTGGAGGAGGAAAGAATGGCAGCTCATCAGTAGTCTTTTCCATGAATGGATGTCAGTATTCCAGATTTTCGCCATTCTAGTACATGTGTAGTAGTATCTCATTGTTTTAACTTGCATTTCCCTGATGATGTGATGTGGAGCATCTTCATGTGCTCATTGCCATATAGATCTAATCTTCCCTGGTGAGATGTTTGTTCAGGTCTTTTGCCCATTTTTTAATTGGGTTATTTTCTTATTCTTGAGCTTTAGTAGTTCCTTGTATATTTTGGATAATAGGATTTTTGTAAATATTTTCTTCCAGCCTCTGGCTTGTCACCTATTCTCTTGAGAGTGTCTTTTGCAGAAAAGATATTTTAAATTTTGGTTAAGTCCAGTTTACCAGTTGTCTCTTTAATACATTGTGTCTTGGGTATCTGAAAGGTACCTCCTAGAGCCAGGGTCATCTAGATTTTCTCTTGCATTACCTTCTGGGAGTTCAGTAGTATTCCATTTTATATTTAGATCTATAGTATCCATTTTCAGTTACTTTTTGGGATAGGTGTAAAGTCTGCATATAGATTCATTGTTTTTGAATGTGGATGTATAGGTCCAGCATTTGTTGAAAGACTATCTTTCCTGTGTTGTACTGCCTTTCCTCCTTTGTCAAAGGTGACTTTACTGAATTTATGCAGGTCTTTTTCTGGGCTTTCTAATCTGTTCCATTCATCTGTTTGCCTATTCTTTCTCCAGTGCCACAGTCTCTTGAATACTGAGGCTTTATAATAAGTCTTGAAATTGAGTGATATCAGTCCTCTGACTTTATTCTTGGCTATTCTGGATGTTTTGCCTTTCCATATAAACTTTAGAATCATTTTGTCAATGTCCACAAGGGAACTTGCTAGCATTGAATCTATAAACGAAGGTGAGTAGAACTGACATCTTAACAATATTGAGCCTTCCTGTCCATGAACGTGGAATATCTCTCAAATTTTTTGTTTTGTTTTGTTTTAGTTTTCATCAGAGTTTTCTAGTTCTCCTAACATACGACTCGTATTAGATTTATTCCTAAGTATTTCACTTTTGGGGGTGCTAATGTAAATGGTATTGTGTTCTTAATTGGAAATTTCACTTGTTCATTGCTTATCTGTAGAAAAGGAATCGACTTTTGCGTATAAATCTTGTATCCTGCAACATTGCTATAATCACTCACTGGTTCCAGGAGTGTTTTTATAGATTCTTTGGATTTTCTACATAGGTATTTGTATTATCTGCATACAAAGACAATTGTTTTTCTTCCTTTCCATTCAGTATACTTTTTTTTTTTTTAAGACTTTATTTATTTATTTGACCAGAGATAGAGCCAGAGAGCACAAGCTGGGGGGGGAATGGCAGAGGGAAAGGGAGCTTGATCCCAGGTCACTGGGATCATGAATTGAACCGAAGGCAAATACCTAACTGACGGAGCTGTCTAGGAACCCTCCATTCTATATACCTTTCATTTCATTTTCTTATTGCACTAACTAGGACTCCCATTATGATATTGAAAAGGAGGGGTGAGAGGGGACACTTTTGCCATTTTTCTGATCTTAGTAGGAAAGCTTTCTGACCATTCTGATGTTCTGATGTTCACTGTAGGTTTCTTAATCCAATTGAGAAAGTTCCCTTCTGTTTCTAGTTTGCTGAGAGTGTTTAATTGTAAATGAGTGTTGGATTTTGTCAAATGCTTTTGTGCCTCTATTGATATGACCATATGGTTTTGTGTGTGTGTGTGTGTTTTGCTTGTTGATGTTATGGATTACACTAACTCATTTTTGTGAATCTTTGTCCTTTGAACAAACCTCTCCTTGACTCAGCAGGGCAGGTCTTCTGCTCTGTGTGGTGTTAGCTGGGACTACAGTCATCTGGTGCCTCACTCATATGGCTGGCCAAGACCTCAGTGGGGAGTTGTCACCTAGTGTGCAGAGGTTCTCTCTGCATGACTCTCCACATGGCTTATATTTCTCATAGCAGGACAGCTGGGTTCAAGAAGGGGTATTGCAAGTGCACAAAAGCACAAGCTACAGATCTTTTGAGCTCAGCCTGGGACGTTGTACAGTTCACTTCTGCCTCATTATTGGTGAAAGCAAATCATAGCTCCAGTCCAGATTCAAGGGAAGTAGTCTAGCCTTTTTATGGCTGGAGCAGCATGCCTGTGAGTGGAATTTATGGCCGCCATCCTAGGAGTCTCTCACAGTGGGTGCTGTGCTTTTTCACCCAGATGAGGATACAGAGATTGAAAGAGTTTAAGGTCCAAAATCTAGTAAGTTCTAATGGAACTGGGTTTAAACTCAGAGGTGTCCAACTTGAGACCCAACATCTTGTTCTATTCTGCCACTTGTATTTAATGATAATTACTAAAGCACCTCACTTTAAAAGGGGAGGCCCTTTTGTCTATTCTGCAATAAAATTTTTAAAATTTTTAAAATTTTATCCAAGAATTGGAATAATATGTTTCCTTTCTGTGTCACGCTGGCTGCTGGGATGGGGGTGGGAGGGGATCCTTCTGTGGATAGTAGGAAGCTTTTCTGCACCTCAGCTGATCCAGAGGCTGTCGTGCTGTTGGACTTATTAGTGACCACTCCCTAGCCCGAAGCTTCTTTCATCCTCTGTTTTTCCTTTAAATGTCAGTGCCAAAGTGTTTCTCAGGTTGCTCCCAAGAAATGTCTTCTTTCTCTAATACTTTTGCCAGTTCAGCTCATGGAAGCCGGATCCCCCTGTCTTGCCAAAGTGTGTTTAATGGTGCAATGTTAAGTCTTCTTGGCTCCATGTCGTACTGTCTAATTCAGGAAAAAGTGCTACTTAGCCACATGATAGAAGTAGGTCACTGGGAAAACTGTCTCTTCTGTAAACTTTTTTTTTGGGATGCTTGTATTTGGAGCAAATAGAGTGCCTAGAACATATTACAGGCTCAAAACCTACCCGTTCAGTGAAATGCCACCAGTGGGCATCTGCATGGCTGCTTTCTCTGGGCGCGGAGCAGGCGTCTTGTTCACTGCACTCTGTCTGGGGAGGCAGGGCTGTTGGGCCGTGTGGGACAGCAGTCTAACTTGAATGACCTTCATCCAGTGGAATCTTTTGCTAAATTCACAGCAGGGACTGAACAGAACACCCTTTCTTCCTTCCTACTCTACCAGGTATAGAACATCTCTAAGTCATATGGAAATCCTTGGCTTGGGGTGGTGGTGATCTGCTATGCTTGCGGACTGCTCCCCTCAAGCTCTGCAGCATGGTGGCTAATCTGGACCTGCTGGGTCAAGGTGATGCCCTCGTGGTTCGGTAGATGTAGAAACACTTTTATGTCCCTCTGCGTACACTTACCCTGAGGAAAGATGAGATCTGCCGTGCTGTAACCTTGA